AATTTCAGAGGCTTTAGACAGGGCTAGGATGGAGCTGAGGTGTCAGTCACTAAAGATGATTTGTATTGCAAAAGAAGTAGGTTACCATGTCCCATTGTGAACAATTATGTCTAATTACAAGTCACAATAATTTATTTAATAACGAATTGCTGCCACACTCCAGCTAGGACGTGCTGGGGGAACACGTGAGCTCTGGTCAGTGGGCAGGTGGGACAGCAGGGGAGAGGGTCTGGCTCAGCTCATGGAGGGGCAAGTGCCAGGCCCCAAAATCTGGGGTAAAACTCTGGGTGCTGTGTCCTGTTCCCAGCAGTGGTGTGTAGGTTTGGATTGGCTTGGATTGGTTCGGTTCAGTTTAGCAGATAGTTGACGAAACACCTCGTGTCATACGATGATTTTAGTTAAACTTTAAAAGGCTGCTCAGAAATGTAAAAAACGCAATAAACTTCCTGACAAATTAAGCAGGATTTGCGCCCTCCCCTCGCCAGCCCCAGCCGCTCGCTTTGGCTGTTTGGTACCGGTGGAGCAGCACCGACCGAGCCCGGCCCGGGGACTCGCGTCTCCCGGCCCCGCCGCACCGGTGCGGGCTCTGCGCGGTGCCGCGGGTCCCGGCAGGAACCGAGCACCGGGGGCCGAGCGCCCCCTGCCGCTACCGGCGCCGAGCGCGCTCCGCCGCTACCGGAGCCGCGCTCCCCCTGCCGGTACCGGGCGGCCCCGGCCGCGGGGAGCAGGAACAAAAGGACTCCCGCTCCACGTCGTTCCCGGGTGATTCGCGCTCAAACGCGGCAGTACCGGGAGGACCGAAGGTGCTCGTGCAGGAGCCACCCGGTGCCCACTCGGTGACAAACCGAGAGCAGCGGGTGAAGCAGCGATGCTCCTGCACGGGCCACCAGCAGCAGCCCGTGGTCAGGGTGAGGGGACTCTGTCACACGAACAGCGGTGGGGGACATGTCAGTCCCCATGGCTGGGCTGTGCTGGTAACGTCTGGGTGCTTATCTGCCACAGTTTGCACTTGGAATCGAGGGGCCAGTCCTGCCAGCTGTGCCCAGGGCACTGGCACAGGTGTGGGGTGCCCCCAGACTCCACCTTGACACTGTGTGAGTGATGCTGCAGCATTTCCTGCCCAGGTCACAGATTTGGCCATCGCTGATTGCAGCTTTCCAGCTTCCTCCTGGGAAATACAACATGAGCTCCTATTAATAGAAGTTCATGGTTTCCAATGAATTTTTTCCTTGAGTCAGGCTGGTTTGGTGGCTGATCCCTGTTGGTGGCCCATGCAGTGTCGTGCCAGCTGCCTGTGGCTTTTATTAGTATTTTTCAGAGGCCTTGATTTAGTGCTCACAGTTGCATCCCAGGCCAGTGGCTCCGGAACGCAGCCCCTCAGGAGCAGAGATAATTAGAACTCAGGGAAAAAGTGGTGTCCGAGTCTTTGAACAAAAAAGGTCTTGTTTAAGGAATGTGGTGCTGGAGGCCAGGGTTTGCCAGCAGGGTCTGTCTCCAGCTTGGAGCTGGTGCCTGCAGTCAGATCCTGCCCCCCACAGACACTCCGGGTGGGATTTTCTGGGAGCATCTCTCAAAATGGAGGCATGGTGCCCTGTAACAAGTACAGGATGTATCCTGGGAATTGTATTTCTGCAAACAGGGCAGGAGGGGCTGGTGGAAGGATGTGGAGAAGTGGGAAGAGAGCTGAAGAGGTTCAGAAGATTCTTGTGCAGGGCAGATGAGGAGGGAAACAACGCAGAGAAAAGGAAAACCGATGTGCTAGGAAATGATGGATCCATCCCCCAGGCTCCTGCTAAGGAGGGTGGGACAAGCTCCATGATTTCTGGCAGCCATGAGCTGCAGCTGCTCCACTCAGCTCCTGTCCTGCAGCCAGATGTGTTTGAGTGCAGCTTCAGCCCTTCCTTCCCTGACACAGCCCCAGCAGTGCCTCCACACTCTGGCAATGCCCCACACGTGTGTTTGGGGACTGTCCCACGTCTCCTCACCTCCAGGGAAGGTTTCCCAAGGGAGTGGGGAAGGGGGCAGGAGTCAAGTTTAAGCACTGCTGTTCTGTATCCTGTTGTTTTCCTACCAGGATTGTTGCAGTTTCCTGCACTGTCTTATCTGGAGCAGGGAAGTCAGAGCTCTCCAGTCCTCTGGCTCTGTGCGTTTCCCGGGTTCTAATCTGCAAAACAGGCGTTGGAGCCCGTGAGAGGCACCAGCCAGGGCTGTCACAGGGCAATGGGACAAGGACAGAGGGGGCAAAGGGCTTTTAGTGCCTCCAAATGAGTGTCTTTATGTAGTGTTCCTGTTTGCACAAGGCTGTGTCTGGTTCACGGGTTCAGGCCTTGAGCACACCTGGGAGGGGGAGAGAGGAAGATCCCAGTGGTGACGCTGTGTCTGACAGACTTTACAGGAGGATAAATCTCAGAAAGTGCTGAGTTTGCTTCTCCCCCTACCAAGGACTCAAAGGACACACATAAAGTCTTAAAACTGAAAAAAGCATTTCCGTGTTTCAGTCAGCCCAAAGTTCAGGCTCCCCTGAAGTGCTGGAGACTCTTGTGAAATTACCTGGCCACATTTTCTGGAATACAGAGGTAAAATGAGCACCCGCAGCACTGAGGTCTGGAAAACTGTGCAGAGCTGGGCCTGAGAAAGCCAAACCTTGTAGATTAAAAAAAAACCCCAAAAATCAAAAACAAAAAAAAAAGAAAGTAAAAACGAACCAACCAACCAAACAGCAAAACCAATTTTTTTTTTTTTTTCCATGAGGGAGCCTGAATTCACCTAACTGTAGGTTTTAGCAGTAGATGGAATTCCCTATGGGTTAAAAAAAAACCAAAATCCTTTACTGGAATGTCCTGTTTTCCTGCAGAAAGGTGTGGATCCTGTACACAGTGTCCATTATCAGATGGGAGCCTCTCCTGGAAAGAGGATTAACCCACAACATCACTCCCAGCCACACAGACACTGAACCAGGCACAAGGCTCCAAAATAAACCTCAGCCCCAAACTCTTAATGCCAGACCCTTCCCCACAGGGGTCCCAGGGTTGCTGAAAGCAGGTAAAAACTGTGGCAATGATCAAGATGGATTTTTATTATTCCAAGGGAAGACACATATGCCAATTCAGCCTCTGGGGGAAGGACAGTGGTCATTTTTCTCACTCAGCTGTGACTGAGAATCCAGACTGATTCCACTTGCCATTCGTTTGAGGGAGTCTCAGCTGCTGGAAGTCTGAGGGCCACAGCAGCCTAAGGGGTCTGTAGCTGAGCACCAAAGCCAGTGCTGGGAACTAAAAAGCAGGAGAAAAAAAAGGCTTTTCTTTCAAAGAGATCAGGAAGAGGAAGACATGTGCCTGGAGATAAGGAAAGATAAAAGCATTCCATTTGCAGAGGCCTGTGATAGGGATCAAGATGTTCATCTGCCAAGTCAGGAATTTTGTGGCCCTATGACCATGCAGAGCTTCCGTTCCTGTTACCTTTTCCCACACTGACTGAAGGCACCAGATTGTTGGCATGGAAGTTCCTTTGAGTCTGTCTTAATGGCTCAGCCCTTTTGGGGAATTGCACAGGCTGAACTTGAAGATAAAACTCTCTTTTACTTCAGGAGGGAAAATTGTTTTTCCCCAAGTTCAGCTTCTAGGGGCTCAGTGGGAGCAGGCTGTGAACTCCCTGGCTTGGGAGGTGGGAACAGGTCAAACACCTCTGGGGAGAGCTTGGGCAGAGCCTGTGAGGAGTCAGGGCAGCTGAAATGGCCACTGGAGATGACTCCCTGCCCTGTTTGCTGGGGTTCAGCAGGAGTGAGCTCACAGGAACAGCAGATCCCATACAAGGCCTTGATTAACATCAGGAGCTCAGATTGCATTTGCTGCTTCCAAAAAGGCTTTTATTGTCTGATTTTTTGTTAAAGCAGCAGCAGCAGATTTCAATTAAAAACTCTCAGTAAATCCCGCCTTTGCACATTGCACGTGCTGGCACGCGCAACAGCCAAGTATTTGAGCTAAAATTATCTGTGCTATCATTAGGAAGGAACATATGGATTGATGGAACCTAAGTGCAGAAAGGAGCTGTGTGCTGTGCTGCAGGCTCACCCCAAAGGGAGCAGTTCCCGTGCCTCCTGATCAGCTGGCACCTGCGAGAGGCGTGACTTGTTCTCTTTGGACAGGAGAGCCAGTGTGTTGGGCTGGAGCTGGATGGGCACCAAAAGCACTGGACACCCAGGGCATTGGGCACTGAGGGCACTGGGCACAGCACTGCCACGGGGCCAGCACTCACAGCCATTCCTGCCCCTGTGCTGCTGGCTTCACCTTCAGCCAGCACCCTCAATTGGCACCTCAGCCAGCCTTCATCCTCACCCTCTGACTACCAGATCCTGAGATAAATCCCTGTGGACAAGCACCGTGTTCGTGGATTGCAGAGCAGCCCTACAGCTGTCAGCTGGGATGGGCTTCTCCTGTGTTGCCCAGCTCTCTGGGAGAGCAGGAGCCCCAGGGCTGGAGCTCCTGTGCCTGCTCAGGGGTGCTCAGATGTGTTCATCTGTGCTCAGGTGTGCTCACAGACCACCAGCCAGGGCCTGTTCTCCCCAAGAGCTGTGTTCTGTGTAGGCCAGAGCTGCTCAAAAGAACCACTTTACGCAAGGTTCCTGTGTCTAGCATTTTCAGCCTTGCCTCTTTTACCATCACTGATTGCAAAGCTTTAATTAATCATGGACTGAGATGCCAGTGTGCAGTGGCAGTGATGGCTCCTGGGCTGCCGTGGTGCTGAGGGCATGCTTCGTGTTCCCTGTGACACAGAAACAGGGATGACTTCCAGGCTGCTGCATGGAGCCTTACAAACAGAAGGGAGAGTTTCAGATTTAGTCTCTAATATAAATACGAGTTGCACGTGCAAGTCCTTCAGTTGGGAAACTGCTTCTTGTTACTGTTTGCAAAGTCAGAGAACCAGCCTCACTATTCCTTTTTCTCTCCCTGCAGTTCAGCACTTGGAGACACAGAGCTTGCCAACCCCAGAGTGCTGAAGGAATGGATTGCAGAGTTCAGTTTGTAAAATTCTATTTTAAGTGTTTATATTTAGTTTCCGTTTCGTTGGTGTTGCAGAGGCTGATCCTGCAAATATTTACCCCAGTCAGGTTTTGTGTGTACAGCTCCTGACAGTGCAGTAGGAGCTCAGCCCAGGGAGGGCACAGGCCTGCAGTGAGCTGAGCATGGAGAAATACAGTTGCATCTTCTGGTCAGGGCTTTGTTTATATGTATATATACACACTTAGTCATGTATATAGCACACACCTGTGATGATCCTTTCAGGTTCTGAGAGAGAAAGGCCATTCAAAGCATCACTTACTGATCCCCACCTGAGAGAAGGCTCAGTGAGACAGAAAGCAGCAGCATGGTGAGTGTTCTGTTATGTAATAAATGATAGCACAGACAAGAAAGAAAGAATAAATTGATTTTTAAAAGGAGTCCTGAGATGAGATTGCTGGTCTACAATTATTGCACTGTTGGGGAGGGACAGAAGCAGCCCCAGGACTGCTCTTGTCTGCACATCCTCTCTCACTCAAGTTCTCTCCAACTCCTTTACAGAGCGAGAGCAGCGGTGACAGAAGGGGCAGCAGTACCAGTTCCCTTCAAGAAGATCTCTCCAACCTTGTGATCTGGGCACACACTCATGGGACCATATGCAACCAGATCCCAACCCTGGAATTTATGCAGGACACAGATCACATGAACAATGACAACGTTGTGCTGTGGATGTGCAGAACTGGACATGCCTATCACTGGCACTGTGGGAAGTCACACAACAGAGGTGAAGAAGTGACTGAGGCTGTAGAAATGAGAAAGAGGCTCCTGCCTCCTGAGTCTTTGGCAAGGGAATCCGGCTTTGAGGAAAAGAGGCTCAAGCTGACCCCATCACTTTTTGAGACGGATCGAAGAGATTCTGAGAGCACAGAGCCATGTGGCAGATCCCAAGAGGTCACTGAGCAGAAGGCTGACAGTGCCTACACAATGAATAATGAGCCCAAGGGGAATCAAAATACCAGGAAACCCAAAACATCATTCTCTGCAGCACAGCATCACTTCTCCATGTCTGGTAGTAGAGTCCAGACTGGCAAACAGGATGTGAAGTCCAAAAGTGACAAAGATACAGGGATCATTGTCCTTGATGAAAAGCAGTGTGAGGCAGATGAAGACAACCAAGGAGACAGAATCAGCCCGGATAAGTCGGAGCCATCTGTTGAGGAGTTGCAGATGCAGAACAGCCAGAAGATGGCATTGCACCATCCAACAGCCTCCCAAAAAACTGCCTTTGCCCCCACGGCAAAGCCACCCATAGCCTGTACCTACATTCTGCAGACTCCTGTCAGCGACTCAGAGGACCTGAGCAGGAACATCCTGAGGCTGGCTTCTTCCACTGCTGCAGGGCCCACAGCTGAAACTTCCAGAGCAAGGAGCCCCCCAGGGTCAACAGCACCAAGGGTATGTTTGAAACCCCTTCCTATCCCCAGCACTGAACCCAAGGCCCAGCTTGAATCACAGCCCTCAGTGACATTCTTTGAGCTCCAAGCCACTGCTGCTGTTCAGCAACTCCAGCTGAGCCCTCCAGGGCATGGCACACTGGGCTCCAGTGAGAACAGTGATGAGAATGTGGGTGGGAACAGTGAGACATCAGAATCTGGGCAGACACCTTGTTCTTCAGCCTTGTGGAGTCCAGAGAGCCATCCACCTGCAGTCTCAAGTGGAGGTAAGACAGTGTGGAGTTCTGTGCCTGCAGGGGTGTGGGGGTGTTCCATTAATCTCTTTCCTAAAATATCCAAGGAGGGTGAGTTCACATCACTGCCAAGATCTGTACTGCAGAATTTAAGTAAATATCTTGGATTTGGGGCACTCCTGTTTCTGCTCAAAGGGACTACAAAGCTCCCTGCCTAAAAGAATTGGTACTTCTGTAGGGAATGCCCTTCTCTGGGGTACCCATAGGTGTTCTTGGCTGTGCCCCAGACCCAACATCCCAGTTTGAATACTTTGGTCTTCCGTTTTACCCAGCACCCACACATAGGATGTTGGCTGTACTTGAGAGAGTCCCTGTGAAAAACTGGAGCTAGAGCAGGGAACTCAGGGCTCAAGAGAAAGAAACAAGAGGAAGTAACACAGAGAAATTGTGGCCAAAGCTCTGGCTGCACCAAGGCCAGTGGCAAAACCTCCCAGTGCTGGCAGTGGCAGCAGAGTGTCAGTCCTGTGTAGGAAATGCAGGACTCCACCAATTGCTTTAGTCCTCTCAAGAATGAAGGTTTCTGTATGTGCTGTCCTGCAGCACAGGGGCCTGGGCATGTCCTTACAAAGGAGGCAGCATTTGGGATGTGCTTGCAGCACCAATGCTGGTCCTGAAAAGGCTTAGGCGTTGTTCATTGTGGAGCCATAACCACACAAAATGCCACAGTTGGGGTTTGGGAGCAGTATTTTACTATTTTCTTAACTGACGTCATGTGTCATGTGAAGGGACTGGGAATTCTTCTGGGAGTGTTCTGTAGTAGCTGTTTCTGCCAAGGTAACTGGCTCATGGCTCAGAGGAGGCCTCAGCATTATTGATTCATGAGCTGTTCCTCTCTGCACCTGGAGCAGTCAGTACAAAACAGGCCAAAACCCCAAAACAGTGGGACAGCCATCAGTCTTTCAGGATGACAGCTAAGCCTGTAAAAAAGAACCTGGTGCAAAAGGGGGAATCTCTAGGTGTTGGCTCAGAAGCCCTTTTCTATCACCCCATCCTCAGCCCTGGACGAGTCACAGGCGAGCAGATGGAGCTTTCCAGCAATCCAAAGAATTAATTTCTCATGCTACATTGAACTAGGTAGATGTGGTATTGCCATGGCAACTTGAGAGAGAGCCCAACTGGAATCCTGGCAATCCTTTAAACAAAATCATAGTACACTTTTACTCACCTGTTTGTTCTCCCTCACCATCCACTCCAACTTTTGGTTCATTCTGTTACTTCACAGTGAAAGGGAAAATTCCCTGTATGGCAGTGAGCAGGGCCAGCTGCCAAGGGAGAGGGAACACAAAGGAGCCAAACTTTCCCTGGAGATCTGGGCACTGCTGTCTTGTAGAGAACACAAATATGACCCAAAGTTCTAGGGGAAGGGGTTTGGGAGAGTCCTGTCCTCTCTGAATGGCTTCCAGAAGGCAGGTGGACACTATTCTGTATCTATTGTGTTTTACTGATCTTTGTGGATTCTTTCTGTCTACAAAGCTGTGTCTTGTCTTTTAGATAGGCTGAAGAAGCAGGAGAAAAAGAAAAGATGTACCACTGGAAACATAGAAGTGTTTAGAGAGTGGCTGAAGTTGCACCACCCCTCCGAGATGTGCGAGATCCACACGCTGCCTCCTGCAGACCTCGACCACTACCTGGTCTCATTCTTCAGTTCTGCCAAGAAAAACAGTGGCATGGATTTTTCTGCCAGTTCCTTAAGCTTGTTCCGGTACAACATCAACCGCTACCTCCAGAACCACAACTACCAGTACGACATCGTGAGAGCTCCAGAGTTCAGGGTCTCTCAGGAAGCCTATAAATTAAAGCAGTATTACCTGCTTCAAAAGAAGGAGGAAAGGTGGAATGTTGTGGAGAACCTGACAGATGAAGATGTGGAAAACCTTCTTAAGAAGAGAATTTTAAGCAAGACAGATCCTCAAGGCTTGCTGCATCTCATGTTCACCAACCTCATTAGGGGGTTTGGGGCAAACACCCACTCCCAGGCCTACCAGCTGTACTGGGGACAGGTGGTGCTGAGGAAGACCAAAGGAGAGGTGGAGTACTTGGAGTGGAAGGATCATCTGAGTCCCAGGGGAAACGAAGGGAAGCTAAGCCCACGGCTCTTTGCCAAGCCTGAGGATCCAGAGAGATGCCCGGTCGCCAGTTACAAGGAGTATGCCAGGAAGAGGCCACCAGGCATGCTGGACGACCACCACCCTCTTTACCTGTCTCCCAAGTCACTGTACTCCATCTGGGACAAAGTGTGGTACAGCAGGAAGGCACTGTCAAAAGGCAGAATTAGCAAGATCTTGAAAGTTATTACCCAGGAAGTCAGAGGAGCCGTAAGGAATACCAAGGAATAAGGGTGTCCCTTCGGCTTTGCCCCTTCAACCACTCCAAGAGTGCTCTGAAACACAATCCTACTGCAATATTTGGTGTAGGTTGAGAACAAAAATCCTTCTGCTGGGCTTCATGTTGGCACTGAAAATACCTACAGATCTGCAGTGCCTTGGCTTTCAGGGAAGTTCCTTTGTTGTTTCTGTTACTGGAATTGATAATTCAATGAGTTAATGAGAGTCTTCAGTTTCACATTTGCCAAACGAGTTAATGTTTTACCACACGGTCGGTGCTGTTAAGAAAACACCACTGCTGATTCAGAGAGGGCTTGGGGGTGCCAGAGCCTGGCCAGGAGCACCAGCTGCACCCACATTTTGAGGCTGACACCCACACAGCTCAGGCTGGGACACAGACCTGCAGGGAAAGATGAGCGACATGAGGAGAGCGATGACGCTGCCAATCCCAACCTCCAAGGCTTCTGACAAGGTTCAGGTCATTTCCCTTAGGGAAAGATTCGTAGATTGAAGAAGTTGTGGCTGTTTTAAGAAGTTATTTAAAGTGTCTGACAATGTTGAAAGGTTTTATGGTAAGTGCTTTCCCTGGAGTGCAAAACACAACTCCACGAAGGCACTGGGATGTGTCCTCAGCTCTGCTCAGCTGCCCTACCACTGTTTAGTGCCTGTTACAGCTGGGTCAAGTTTTTGGTTGCATTGTTGGCAGAGCCAAATAAAAGAACCTTTAATTCAGTCCTGTCTGTGTCTGAACAGCAGGTGATGCTTTCCTGGAACACTGGTGTATTCCCTGTTGTGCTCAGTCTCCCCTGCTCCCAGCCCCGTGGTGGCACAGAGCTTTGGGCCCTTTGAAGCCCTGTGAGCCATTCCCATGGTGTCAAATGAAGCCTTGGGGGTCAAGCTCTTTGCCCCAGTTGGTCCCATTCAACTAATTGAATATCAAGAAGTAACTTAAGGACGTTTGAAGAGACATAAACCAGACAAACTCCTCAGGTACTGGAGGTTGTGTGCCTCTTGTGCTTTGGAGCACCGGTGGCATCATCATGACACCACGACTGAGCAGCTGTCCCGAGGGTCCCGCCGGTCCCGGTGACCCGGCCGCGGTCACACCTCTGTTCCCGCTTCCCTCAGCCCCCAGACCGCCCCGGCTCGGGCTCCTTCCTCCCGGTCGCTGTCGGTTCGGCCCACGCGCAAGGCTCGGGAACTGCCGACGGGAAGAGCCGGTTGCACCATCTGCCCGCTCTGTCCTGTCACGGCACCGGGGCACCTCCATGGGGCTCCACCGGGAAACCCCCGGTCAGCGCCCGCCGAGCGGGGCGGGGCCCGCACCGGGAACCCCGCCAGCGCTGGCGGAGCAGGGTCCGGGTCTCGGAGGGCTCCGTGCTGGGACCCCCGTCAGCGCTCGCAGAGCGGGGTCGGTACCGAGGTCCCTGCGGGTCCGTACCGGGCTCTCGGCGAGTCCGTCCCGGACCCTGGTCAGCTCTTGCGGAGGGGCCGGTACCGGGGTCCCGGCGGGTTCGTACCGGCCCCCGGTCAGCTCTTACGGAGCTGTCGGTACCGGGGTCCCAGCGGATCCGTGCCAGACCCTGGTCAGCTTGTGGAGGGGCCGGTACCGGGGTCCCGGCGGGCCCGTACCGGGAGCCAGTACCGGGGTCCCGGCGGGCCCGTACCGGGGCCGGTACCGGGGTCTCGGCGGGCCCGTTCCGGGGGTCGGTACCGGGGTCTCGGCGGGCCCGTTCCGGGGGCCGGTACCGGGGTCCCGGCGGGCCCGTTCCGGGGCCCGTTCCGGGGTCCCGGCGGGCCCGTACCGGGGGCCGGTACCGGGGTCCCGGCGGGCCCGTACCGGGGCCGGTACCGGGGTCCCGGCGGGCCCGTACCGGGGCCGGTACCGGGGTCCCGGCGGGCCCGTTCCGGGGCCCGTTCCGGGGTCCCGGCGGGCCCGTACCGGGGCCGGTACCGGGGTCCCGGCGGGCCGGTTCCGGGCCCCGCGGGTGCTGCCCGGGAGCCCCCTAGCGGGGCCGGGCGCACGGGCACGGACCGCAGCCGGTTGGGGTCGGGCGGGACTTTGAAGCCCACCCGGTGCCGTCCCCCGTGCTACCCTGCGTGCCGCCCCCGCCCCGCGCACGGACTCCTCCCACCGGCCCCGGCTGCTCCGAGGCCCGCCCGGTGCGACCCCGGTGCTCCCCCGGAAGGCTCCAGCCCCCCATCCCAACCACGGGGGCTCTTCTGAAACACCAGAGCAAAAACAGTGGAGCAGGTGGACAGAACAGGCCTGGAAGATCGAGGGAGTGTAACAACTCTTTAATAAATTAGCAAAATAAACAGCATTTATATATTTTTTTATATACCATTGCTGCATCTCCATGGATCAGAGGAGTTAAACCAATGTTGATTCCCAAGTCCCACGGCAACACTGATCCAGAGCCTCAGTTCAGGTACCCCCAAGGCAATGCTCAGCCTAGCGGTACTTAAAAACCTAAAACCACTGAGAAATAAAACGGCTTTTTCATAAGCCTGAGACACAGCTCTCCAGGGGCAAAGTGAATTATCGGGTGATTTCACCTGGCTGGCTCCAGGCGGAAATGATTAAAAAGATACTGATCCAATTTTTTCCCTCTTAAAAAAAAAAGTGTTCCTCCACCCCACAGGGAGGAGGAGGAAGGAGTTGATCTATTGCATGGGAGGATTATCAGTTTAACAATAACCCAGATTGATTTGCAGGGTTCACGTCTCTGATTGTTGCGATGGCCGAGGGTAGAACTGATCGAGTATTTAGGTCATGCATCAGCTGGTTGTGATCAGGGCCAGCCCCCAGCCCGGGGGTCCCTCAGTCCTCATCCCGGACGTACTGCCCGGCCTCCCAGCGCTGGGCCATGACGCTCTTGTGGCGAAACACTCGGGTGCTTTCCACCACCTGCAGAGACCAGAACATGCAGGATCTTTATAAAGAAGAGACTTTCATAACGATCAGGTTTGCAGAGCTGCCCCCGCTCCCCCCGCCAGCTCCCCAGCCTGTTTTGCCTGATTCAGTGTCCACCCAGGTGGTCCCCGTGGCAGCCAGGACCGTCCTGTCCACCCCTGTCCATCCCACAGCCCTCCAGGAGTGAGGGGAGCTGGGGAACGTGGGAGGTGTCAGGGCAGCCCCCGCATTCGTGAAGGGCTTTACCTCTGTGTTGACCTTGTCAACGGGTTCAATGCCTGCGTACTGTGGAAAGAGGAAAACACGATTAGATAATGGCAGCCCGGCTGGGGAATATTCAGAGGCTGCTGGATCTGGCTCCCAGCTGCGGCACAGGAGAGGCAAGGGAAGACAGCACAAGCAGACAAGCCCCACCTGGGGTTGGGGGAACATCCCAGGCCAGGATCCCCACAGGAGGAAGCTGCTGCTCCTCTCCAGTCCCACCCAGCGCTGGCAGTTCTGAACAGCAGGCGCTGCCTGGGGGGCTTACATGGCCCCTTGATGGTGCCACCACTGCTGGATCTCCCACCGAGCTGAGCAGATGGATCTCCAGCTCCAGGTGGGAGTCAGGAACAGCCACCAGTATTCCCCCAGGCTCAAGCCCCCCAACTTGGCACAAGCAGGGTGGGCATGTTCACCTTTCCATCCTCCTTCACCCTCCTCCTCCGCTCCTCGAAGGGGCTGGAACGCGACGAGTCAGGGGTGAGGGTCTCTGCACTGCCCTGGGAGGAAGTGGTCACTCTCAGCGGGGTGAAGGATGAGATCAGCCCCAGGATCCCCGTCTGGTGTGAGGCAGGAGAGGAGGCAGGAGACTCGGACACTGAGTAGTTGCCACTGGCACCTGAGGCAGCTTTGAGAGAAAGAGCATTGGGGGGGTGACCTCAGTTCCACTCCCAGGGGTGGAGACCCACAGGAGTGTCAGGCCCCTGCCCCAAAGATGCCTCCATAGCAGGTCCAGCAGGTTTGGTCATAGCTGGGACCCCATGCCTGGGGCCCAACCTGCAGGACTGCAGGAACAAGGGGTAAAACACATTAGCTGGGCCCTTCCAGCCCTGTTTGCTGCTGTAATGTGACACAAGCTCATGGAGACCTGAGCAGCTCTGGAATCCTGCAGAGCCTATTCCTCCTCAGCAGCAGTTCTGCTGACTCCAGTGTGCTGGTATCAAGTTCTCTCAGGACAACTTGCTACCAGCACACAGGAATCCTTACAGCCATCCCACCGAACCATTTCTCTGCCACTCTGTCCCTCTGCTCCCTTACCGGAGCTGTGCCGAGAGCGGGAGCCCTCCTGGGGAGCAGCGTTGCTGTAGGTGTCCATCAGCCGCCGCCGCTGCTGCTGGAGCTCCTCTTCCCTCTGCAGGTCACTCCGGATCTCCTCCTCGATCAGCGCCGATGTCTGCGGCTTCCACGTCCGCAGCCGGTACTGCTCGTCCCGGCCGTCCTCCCTCCGCAGTGGGCTCTGTGTCCCCATGTCCTCCACGAAGGACACCTTGGGCTTCCAGAAGGAGAGCTTCAAGTACTCTCTGGGCAGGACAGCGGTGCTGGCGGGGCTCAGGGTGGAGCCGGGAAGCTTTCCTCCCCAGGAATCCTCGCTCCCCCATTTGCTGGCGCTGGCGGAAGCGTGCTGGGACACCAAGGGCTGCTCCCGGCTCCTCTCGCTGGCGGCGAAGCGCGGCTGGGACAGCTGGAAGTGGGCGATGCTCGCTGTGTAGCTGCTTCTCCCAGCCGTGGTGTCTTCTGCGGGGCTGGGGCTCGAGGGCTGCTCCGCCACGAACTCTTTAACCCAGCTCCTCCTCTCCTCTGCCCGCTTCAGGGGAGTGGGCTTCTGTGGGGGGGCTTCCTCCTGCTCGAACACCCTCCTGCGCTCCTCCAGCTCCTGCTGCGTCCCCCGGTCATACGCCCCCAGCAGCCTCCCCTGCCTCTTCAGATCTTCCTCACGCTTCGTTTCCTGTTCAATTTCCCTCTGGACATAAAGGGAAGCGCGGCCTCTGTCCTTCCCTTTCCTGCCTGGGCCGGGAGACATGTGAATGTTGAGGACGGGCTTGGTCTGGATCTCCACCAGCTCGCTGCTGGAGGTCAGCCGCTGAATCCCCCTTT